ATATGTTTTAAAGTCAGGAAGTCCCAGACCTCCTCTTGTTTTTTTGTCAATTAAATTTATATAATTTATTCTTGGTCTTTTCCCTTTCCAAATGAATTTTAATATTTCTTTCTTCCATTTTTTAAACAGGGTCTGATTTCTTATTACCGGTATATTTTGAAACAGAAATATAAGTTTTGGTAGAACATTCATTTTTATTAGAGATATTCGACCCAGAAGTGATAGGTTTAAATAACTCCATTTTTGTAAATCTTTCTGAATTTCCTTCCAAACAGTTTCGTAATTATTTTTCAGTAGTTGACCATTTCTCGCTGTGATCCAGACTCCTAGATATTTAATTTTTTTCACACTCTCTATCCCCAGTTGTTCTTGAATCTTTCTTTGTTTCTCCTTTTCCACATTTTTGAATAAAAGTTTCGTTTTCTTCATATTCATTTTGAAACCGGCCACTCTCCCAAACTCCTCTATTTTTATTAGCCAATTATGTAGATTTTTACCAGGATCCTCAATTGTTCCTAACAAATCATCCGCAAAAGCCCGTATTTTATATTCAAATCTGCCAATTTTCACTCCTTTAATATTTTCGTCCTCTCTAATTTTCTTCATTAGGATCTCAACTGCCATTATAAAAATCAATGGAGACAGTGGGCAACCTTGTCTAGTACCCTTTGAAATCTCGAATTCTTGCGTCATTTGTCCATTTATTTTCACTTTAGCTTTTTGGTAGTTATAAATTGCATTAATTGCATTATTGAATTTTTCTCCCATGTCCAATTCTTGTATTAATATCTTAAAGAAATCCCAATTTAGATTATCAAACGCTTTCTCAGCGTCTATTGATAAGATTGCAAATTCTTTTTGATGATTCATCTCACAATATTCCAGGAGGTCTAGGACGTTACGGATGTTTTCTTTCATATATCTATTTGGTAAGAATCCTGTTTGCTCTTCTCCAATCCATTCACTTAGAAATGTTTTTAATCTTGTGGCCATAATATTCGCAAATATTTTGTAATCCGTGTTTAAAAGAGAGATCGGTCTATAATTTTTAATATCAGTTTCTGGGGATCCTTCCTTATGTATTACTGTAATTTCAGCTTCCTTCCATGAGTCTGGTATTTTCTGATATTTCATCGCATCATTTACAATGACTTTAAGTATTGGTATTAAATGCTGTTTGAAAGATTTGTAAAAGCCCGCCGTAAACCCATCCGGCCCTGGGGCTTTATCTGCATCCATTTTATTAATTGCTTTTTCTATTTCCTCCTCCGATATCTCTTTATTCAATAATTCTCTGTCCTCA